TTGACTCAATTGTAATAATAATTCTACAAATATTAAGCATTGATTGCATTTTTACTTTGAATAAAACTTCTTATAATTGTTTAAACAGATTTCAATTGTCTTTAGTTTTGGACTTTTGAACAACACACCCGAGAAATCATTGTCCGAGAGATCAATGGTTACAAAGCATTGAACGATAAGTGTTTGCAGAGCCGGTAGTGTCGAGATCTGATCCAAACATTGGCGGCTAAAATATGTGCATTCAATGGATAGGCATTGAAGTCGTGGCCAAAGTTCGTGACAATTGACAAATCTATCGCTAATTAATTTCAAATCTTTGAGCCATAAATGCGTTAATCTTTGGCCCGAAATCCGAAGACCAAACCATTGAGAATCGAGGGTTAAATCTAATCGTTTTAATTGTCGAAACTCTTCTATTGAATCCACGATTTGAGTGGTTTTAGAGCGCAATGCGAGAGCCAATCGTTTCAATTGTTTGCATTTCACGCCAATTGGACGCAAAGACTCACACAATGAGTAGTGTTTGGGAAGCGAACGGAATTCAAGTCTCAATCGCCGTAATTGTGGTAATCGTGACAATTGTTCGGTCAGTTCGTTGAGTGTCTCCGAAGTGTTGCATTGGATCTCTTTTATGACAAGACATCTGAGGGACTGATTCTCGGCCACAAATCGGGACAATAATTGATTGTTAAAGTCTTTCACTTTGAATGTGAACTCAAAACTCAACAAATTCTTCGCCATTAGTCCGAAATTCTGGTCAAATACATAGCATATAAAAGTGACCGACAAATGAGACAATCGGTGGTAATTAATGAACGATTGTTTGGCCCAAACGTCACTAATTCTGGTGACCAGAGGTCTCAACTTTGGGATCAGTTGATTACAATTTGAACCCTTACTGCAGTAAATGTGCCGCAAATGCCGGCAATTGTCGTGAAATATTTGCAAATTATTGTCATTGCATATCATTCCTCGACAGTCAATGATCTGAATGTTTGGAAACTTTTTGGCAATTGTTTCCATCGCTTGAGTTAATGTTGTCTTTGTTTTATAGATGTTTCTAATCAGATGATAGAGTTTGATGTCCACAACACTCTCGAAGACTGTCCTCTGGATCTGTTTGGACACACATTCGCATCGAAACCGATCTTCGAGTGAGAGATACGATAATATGAGTCCAAACATGTCATCACCGAATCTGTCCATTGAGTCCTTCGCGTAAATCTTCGGCTAAAATGTGAGATAAAACCAAAACTCAATAAACAGTCAATTGTTTGACAAATACCTGTTGAATGTCTTTGTCTTCGCCGTCATCTGTGGTGACGAGTGATGCCATCCTTTGTGTCAACTGTTGTGCCATATCTTGGGATCAACTGAAATGATTGTACGAAACGTTTGCTTAAAATTACAATCAAATAGTTTTCACATTAAAATTAATGCCAAAAACAATGCTTTCAAACAAATGCAAAAAATAATCATTGAATGCTTTAATTTATCGGTGACGAACCTATGCAAACACTATACAGATTGACTGAATGTAAAATCGTCACACTTTAAAAATCACCATTACGTACATATTATTATCAGGCATATTTTTACCTCCACGTGATTTGACTTCAGAATCATGTGTCCGACCAAAAAGTAGAATAGGAATGTATGATGAAGTCCATACCCCTAATATTTCCTTTGAAGTCAAAATGACCTATAAAGAAACTGCATTTTACACTTTTGAAAAATCATATCTCCTGATCCGTAAATATTAAAATTATTATCTAAACTGCATATGGTGTCCGGCCGGGCCTAGAATGTGCCCGACAAAACCACATCAGACTGAGACTCATACTTTGGTCACAAATCGACATAATGTGATTTCAGAATTTTTTGAAATCGTAAATTAGCCACCACTCGGCCAAAAATGGACTTATATTGACTAAATTTTTTGAGGGACATTTACTATTCAGATGATTTTATATAAAAAAAACAAAGTTTAATGTTAATGGGCATTGGGCCAAAAATTTAATATTTAAAAATTTTAATTTTTTTTAAATTTGCGAAATCAATTATCATTGTAAGCACAATTAAAATTGATATAAATGATGTACAGTAATTACGTCCTTAACTATAAAAAACATTCATAACTGTTACAAAATTTCTTAATTTTGATATAACTTTTAAAGATTATGTCAGATTTGGGAAATTCCTTCAGATATCGATTCTACTCATCCATACCTTTCTATTGATATATAGCATGATTTAATTATTTATAAAATAAAAGATTTGATTTTAAAAATTTTACTGATAAAAGTGGTCACTGCGACCAACCCTGAGATAGTATGGCCAAATAAAGTAAACCACTTGACTCCTTACATAGTGTACTTTCATTCTATAATAATAACTCCCGAGTGCCCGCTATCCCACTAATAGGCATATCCTTTTCCAGATAAGAGTGAAAAAATTATGTTATTTTTACGGAAAATTGAAAAAAAAATCTGGCCACGCCCACTATTAATTAATAAAGTTGCGGAGGGGACCCTAAATGGTCCTCAAAAGGTTTGGTCAATATAAGTCCATTTTTGGTCGAGTGGTGGCTAATTTACGATTTCAAAACATTCTGAAATCACATTTTGTCGATTTGTGACCAAAGTATGAGTCTCAGTCTGATGTGGTTTTGCCGGGCACATTCTAGGCCCGGCCGGACACCATATGCAGTTTAGATAATAATTTTACCATTTACGAATCAGGAGATATGATTTTTTCAAGAATGTAAAATTCAGTTCAGTTATCTGTCATTTTGACCTTGAAGGAAATATTAGGGGTATGGACTTCATCATACATTCCTATTCTACTTTTTGGTCGGACACATGATTCTGAAGTCAAATCACGTGGAGGTAAAAATATGCCTGATAATAATATGTACGTAATGGTGATTTTTAAANTTCCTATTCTACTTTTTGGTCGGACACATGATTCTGAAGTCAAATCACGTGGAGGTAAAAATATGCCTGATAATAATATGTACGTAATGGTGATTTTTAAAATGTGACGATTTTACATTCAGTCAATCTGTATAGTGTTTGCATAGGTTCGTCACCGATACTCTAAACCTACAATGTACTTAATTAAGTGCTAGTTCAAATATCAAGTGAATACTCAGTTCATATATGCAATATTTTACCACAATCTATTGAATAGCTACTAAATTAGCAATTAGCTCGATGTGCATGTTATCTGATTGTTCAGCCATGGCAACTGAGATTGCATTTAATATAAATACAAGCATTTGTGTGAAATATTACTTTATTTATAATAAAGGTTTTATAAAAGTTAAAATTTAATTATAATTGTGCTAAAATTATAATACGTATTAAATGGCCAAACAATACGGCCCGACAGACATCAAGGCGTCAGCCATAGAGTTAATCGGAAACACACCGTTGGTTGCATTGGACCGGATATGGCCCGGATCGGGACGTATACTCGCAAAGTGCGAGTTCATGAACCCCGGGGCCAGCATTAAGGACCGGCCGTCGAGATGTATGATAGAGACGGCCATATCTAACGGCAAACTACAGCCCAACGGACACATCGTTGAGCTGTCGAGCGGTAATCAGGGCTGCGGTCTGGCACTGGTGTCGGCCGTATTGGGCCACCCGTTGACTATAGCCATGTCTGAAGGCAATAGCCCTCAGCGGGCGGTTATGATGCGGGCGTTGGGCGCGGAGGTAGTGCTGGCCAAACAAGTAGACGGTAAGCCGGGCAACGTTACCGGTGCTGACATTGGCGAGGTAGAAGTGGTGGCGGCTGAACAAACTGAAAAGTACCATGCTTACTACGTGGATCAGCTTAACAACGAAGCCAACAGTAGAGCGCACGAAGAGACCACTGGACCCGAGATATGGCGCCAAACGGGCGGCCGAGTGGCGGCGTTTGTGACAGTCGTGGGAACCGCCGGATGTTTTGCCGGCATTTCCCGGTACCTAAAGCGGCAAAACCCGGATGTGGTGTGCGTTGCGGCCGAACCGACCGCCGCACAGGCTATTAAAGGCGAACCGATGCCAAACCCGTTGCATTTACTGCAGGGCTCCGGGTATGGTATGATTCCGGCGCTATTTAGTTACGACACTATGGATTATACGATAGATGTGACCGACGAGGAGGCGCTCAAATACAAGGATCTGTTGGCCCGCAAAGAGGGTCTATATTTGGGCTATACGTCGGGCGCTAATGTGGCCGCAGCTGTCAAGTTGTTAGAGTCCGGAAAATTGCCGTCCGATGCCTGGGTGGTCACTCTACTCAATGATACCGGTTTGAAATACCCACCAGAAGCGGCACATATGTCATAATTTTAAATATATATTATTTAAAAATAAAATTATTTTAATTATATGTAATTTTTAACCGTTGCCAACCGTGTGTAAATTATTTTTTTAATTTTTTTTTATCATATACAGTATAATTATTTTTGTTAAAACTTAGCCTAAAATCAAAATATAAGATTATTGTATTTAAGCCTTTATACTCTAAAATACAGCTAAAGTTATCAACTAAAATTTAGTTGCTAAATAAATAATGGACATTTGGTTTATATGATAAAAAAAGTTTAAAACACAGGAAATTGACTGTACATTGTAAACAATCATGGCATAGGGCTGATCATCCTTACTATGAATTATGTTGGGGGCACGCATACAGACTTTTAGTCCTTGTGCGTTTTATATGTTTTTACGTAGATTTCACTGTTATTTACAGTTTTCAATGAAATCTATGCAAAAAAACATGTAATTAGATTTGTATTTATTTTGTATTTAGATATCAAAATAATGTGTTATGTTTAGTACACTAGTAATTGTTTTATTATATCGTATAGTGAAATAATTAATATATTTAAATAAATAGCTAATTTATAAATTATGAAAATGTTTAATATTTTGGGCGCATTTATAGCCCACGAGTATCGCTGCGGAGGCGGTGTTAGCGTTGGGTATAACGGGAAACACAGAGGCGTCGCAAACCCTTATTATATGTATTTTATAAATTATGAAATTGCTTAATAAATTGCGCGCATTTATAGCCCACGAGTATCGCTGCGGAGGCGGTGTTAGCGTTGGGTATAATGGGAAACACAGAGGCGTCGCAAACCCTTAGATTGTTGGCCCCCTTAACCCTCAACTGGGGGTCGACCACAACGTCCGCCCTCTCTATCGCTCCCATACGACAACTGCCCGCCGGATGATTGCCAGCGACTGTATTGTATTGAATATAACACTTCAATCCCTCAATACATTCATACAAATACTGTTTGTCCGGACAATCGGGACAACCAATGAATGAAAATGGTAGCAATGGTTGCAAATAATTGGCCAGTTGTGTTCGCTCATACATGTAAAACACTTGTGTTACGGCATCTAAAATGTTTGCCTTATCTTCAGGATTTGAATACCAAATAAGATCAATTAGAGGGGGCAATAAGGGGTCAGTTGACTGCAACCTCATAACTCCCCTACTTTTAAATCGTGCTAAAAACACAACATGAGCAAATGTAATGTTACTTGATCTAACAATTGCATATTCCACATTGGGCCACTGTTTGTCTCGATTTAAATGTGTGCTAGTGTATGATATAATTGCAGGGCTAGATGACAAAGTGCCTTGTTGTCTATAATATAATTGGCTCAGTTGTTCTACATTTAGTTCTGGTGTTTCATTAATTAATTGAGAGAAATACTGTTGTTTTAATACTAAATTTAAAAACACAACCGGGTGATTTTGGAAATTCTGTCCGACCGGTAGATCCAACACAACCGGTATATTAAGACTATTCAAGTGCTGTTTCGGACCCACGCCTGAGAGCATCAGTAATTGGGGGCTTTGAAAGGCTCCTAAATATTCATATAAATTATTAATAATTTAAATTTAAAAAATCAAATTATATTTTATATTAAATTTATAATCATTACAATAATTACCGGCGGAAACAATGACTTCTCTGTTGGCGTAAACCGTATACGAGATGTCATTCACTATAAACTCGACGCCAATGGCTGTCAACCCATTGAACAGTATTTTAGTGACCAATGCTTTGCACNGTATACGAGATGTCATTCACTATAAACTCGACGCCAATGGCTGTCAACCCATTGAACAGTATTTTAGTGACCAATGCTTTGCACACTATATGCAGGTTATCTGGATATGGGTTCGGGTCTACAAACACAGTACCGGTGCTCTCCCTTAGACCCGTCGTGTTTATATAAGACTGTGTCAGCGCATACCCGGCCTGATTCGGGCCATTAATATCAGTTTCATTATAGCCTAAGGCGTTGAATGCTTTGTAATAGTTTTGATAAAATTTTGGCGCATTATTTGGTGTTGTGATCTGAATGGGTCCACGAGTTCCGTGATATCCGGGTTCATTGTATACAATATGGGGATCGGTATTGTTCTCCCACTCCCTGAACACCGGCAACACATCCCTATAACTCCAACCGTCGGCGCCGTATTTGTGAGCCCACTCGTCATACCCACGACTATTACCCCGATTAAATACCATAACGTTAAGCGTTGAACTGCCGCCCAATGTTTTGCCACTATTATCGGGAACCCGACCCCCGGCGTACTGTAGGCCATAGTTTTTGTTTGGCTCGTAATAATAATTCCACTTTAAGTTTGAAGGTATAGTTGTATATATGGCCGGAATATCATTATAAATAGCATTTTGCGGACCACCTGCCTCTAATGCTAACACCTTGATCAATTTATTTTGGCTCAGTTTGTTGGCCACAACCGCACCGGCAGTTCCGGTGCCGACAACAATGAAATCATACGATGAGTCCCATTGAGTTCGGGCACAAGTGTTGTCGTGACTGACCTGTCGTTGGGCTGTAATCCACGCGACAGCCAATAATTTATATGCAAATGGAGTTATATTTACCATAGTTTTTTAAAGTTAGAATTTATCTTATTTAGAATACAATTTGTTTTTGAGTAAATAGTTATATTATATGAACTAGCAGTTAAATGAGAAAATATGTTAACCACATACTATTAAATATAAAGTATTAAGTATTTTAAGACATATTTTGATTTTTAATAATTAAAGTGGTTTTATAAAAAATTATAAACCATTTTTAGTTCATTAAACTTAATGTTTTGCAATTTCATATAATATTTAGAAATTCTGGATTAATATTATTTTAGGATAATATATTAATTTAACTTTATTAGTATTATTTTTCATTAGCTAGTAGTTAAAAATATGTTAATGGCCTTAGTTTATTACAAATTATATTACAAATCACTAACTTACCATCAAGTGCTGGCTAAACAATTTACACAATATTTAAAACATATTAAATATAGTAGTAATTAATAATAAATTCTTGATTAAATAGTAATAATAATTTCTTAATTAGTAATAATTATTATTAATAAAATTGTTGATTAGATAAAAATAGTTAACAATAAGTTCTTGAATAGTAATAATTAATAACTACTAATTCTTTTACTGAACATAATTCTCGACGTAATCCGCAATAATTTGTGGCAATTTTACTAAACTATTATTGGTTTGTATTCTTTGCGATATTTTCATCAGCTTTTCATTCAATGGCTTATCATTCAAAAGAGTGTCGATCGCAGACAACAACTCGCGGTCTGAGCACCGGTAGGGGTCCAGTCGTAAGCCGAGGCCCGACTCCTGTACTCTCTGGGCGTTATCGTATTGATCGGCAAACAATGGCATAACAATCATAGGTTTGCCAAAACAAAACGTTTCAATCGTCGAGTTATAGCCGCCGTGTGTTATAACCAAATCAACTAATGGCAGGACTCGTATCTGCGGCACAAACTCCTGGCCCCACATATTGCCGGGCAATACGTACTCGTCATGCGAGGGTCCCATCGACACAATGAACCTGTGCCTGGATTTAGCCATAATGGCCACCAATCGCTTCATATTGACCACATCTATGGCGCCCATCGATCCCAACGAAAAGTACACCAACTTTCCCGGCATATCCCTTAACGGCACCGGTATCTCAAAGCCTATCCCTTCGGGCGCTCGCATAAAGTGATCCAAACGGATGACATTTGTAGGCAACTGTGCGACACCGGGCGGGAAATCCAACTCAAATGGATAGCCATAGAGATTAAGATATTTGTCACTATAAGTGAACGGACTGTCGCTCAACGGTTGACAACCTCTCGACACGATATAGTCGTCGATCCGACGCCAGCCCTCGTCTTGTTTGGCGGCTTTGACCGCTCGGAACGCATCCCATTCTGCGGGCCCTCCGGCTAGAGATAGACCTAATTAACAATTAAATTATTATAATAATTGTTAGCCTATCCAAAGAAAAGCAGCATTTTATACAGCATTTTATACATAATAACCAAATATTACCCATTGTGATTTGCTTCACATGTATTAATATGAGTACGGCAATATCCTAAAGCTAGCAAACTTTTCCATGTTAGCTCTATGAGCTGTTAAAAGTTGTGATACTCGTACATTTATTTGTTAATAAATTTTTTAAAAACATAATAATGAATTTATTAATTCACATTTCACATATCACTACACCTCTCATTACTAACAGAAGTAATAGGAAAAAGTTGGCGAGTTTTTAGTTTTCTCGAACATTCTACACAAAGTGATCTATAGGGTGACCAGAAAGTCTTTTTTATGGGGTTTGTCGTTTTTACATTCCAAGACAGAATCCTTTAAAGTAGTCAAAAAGAACTATACTTTGTCCTTTTTTGTTTTATTAATTTTAATATAATAAAGTTTATATTTTAAAATTATTGGAAATTTGATTGGAAATACAATTTATGTCTAATTAATACCAATTTAGTTTTACTATTCACACATTATTTATAACCAAAATGACTTACTTCTAACTAATTATATATAGAGACATTATTACTAAAATTTAAACCAGATGATTCATAGTTGAATTGTGATAAAAAATCGAATACAATAGTATAATAGATTAATGTTCAATGTCAAGTTTAAATCTCGACAGAGCAATTGAGCATCATGGGAACACTTACCAGATAAATATGGCGGTAGTCGAATATCGCTGCGCTTTAATAACGGATTAACAACTGATATCAACACACAGGGTATACCCGATAACTCAATGGCCGGAATGGGTCTATAGAGCTCTCCAAATATAACATCTGGCTTAAGATTGGGCAATAGAGTGACCAGATGTTCGTCTCTTGCAATAATCTTGTCTAACAAAACTGATTGATAATTGCCGCTAACTTTCTGGATGGAAGTGTTGGGTCCGACTTCGCCACTGTTTAGCAGAGAAATGGCCACATTTTTCACCACGTTTTCGGTGTGAGCTGTGGTTTGAGTGTTTAGTATGCATTCTTCGATCCCAAATTCCCGGAGCTTTCCCTCCCAATAGCTGTCGACCAGGAAAGCGACCGCATGTCCGGCCCGTATCAGCGGTTGTGCGGCGCCTATACATGTATTTATGTGGCCGACGTCGCCGATCGGCACAAACAGTGCTTTTAAGCTCCGGCTCATAATGTTGTACACAAACTATTGATAAGACTTAATGTAAGGTAAAATAGTTAACTAACTTTTTATATTAAATATTATTCACGGCCATTTATTTTCAATTAAAAATTCGTGTTTGTTGCATGGTGACTTTGCATAATTTATTGAAATAAATTTCAACTCATGATGATTATTTTCAATAGACTTTTCTAGAAAAATAATTAGGAATTTAATTTAAATTAACAACTTTTATATTGTATTTTATTTATTACACTATTTTATATATAATTTCGAATTTTACATAATTTAAATTTTTCATCTCAAATAATAATATTATTTCATAATATTTAATGTTAATTTAATAGAAAATTTATAAAGCAAAACTAAATTTTTTTAAAATTAATAATATTACTTCAATAATTTATAATATTACTTCATCACATTAAAAGCAACATTAAAAGTAATATGTATTTAATTGCAACAAAGGTGCGACTTTTTATTACTCTTAAATATATAATATTAAATTAAAGGTAACACATAGTTGGTAATATCTATAGGTTACCCACAATTCAGTTGATATTCATGGACAGTTTATAAATTGACAACATATAAAATTAATTGTAAATCGTATATTCTAATTAAATATCAAAATAATGTTTTGTAATGTGTAGTACACTATAGTAATTGTTAATTGTTTTATATTATACTAAAATAATAAATATGTTCAAATAAATAACTAATTTATAAATTATAAAAATGTTCAATATTTTGCACGCATTTATAGCCCACGAGTATCGCTGCGGAGGCGGTGTTGGCGTTGGGTATAACGGGAAACACAGAGGCGTCGCAAACCCTTAGATTGTTGGCCCCCTTAACCCTCAACTGGGGGT